CCACCCTTGAACAATACCATTAACAAATCCTGGGTTCCACTCTTGAACAATACAGTAAATCGTGGTTTCTACTCTTCAATAATACAATAAACAAATCCTGGGTCCTACTCTTCAGTAATACAATAAACCAATCCTAATTTATAAACTTTAGTGACACTAGAACGGAATCCTATTTTCTAGGTATTAACAACAAAGTAAATAAATTCCAATTTCCAGATTCTTAACGATAAAATAAAAACATCCTAAAATGCTGACTTACCATTCCTCCAATCTTTTCTGGAGCTCTTTTAACAAAGATTCATTGAGCTTTTGTAACTCGGGAAGGTGTCGGAGTATTTGGTTCAAATTTTCTTCTGGTACCACCGGTTCATCACTCAGTTTGTTTGCCTGATTCACAAATTTCCTGAAATCCTTTACTCAAATAAAAAATAAAACAGTACTTTTTATGGTGAGTTATTGTTATCTTCTTAAACAATGCACAGATGAAATAATGATAGAAAGATTGTTTAGTGCTTTCATAATAATATCTTTCATTAAAAACTACAGAGAGAGAACACAATATCATGCTAATATTGCTATCAATTAAATACGTTTTTAATTATTCATTTTTTTCAGGGTGTGTGTGTTACGTTACTTGGAATAAATTGAACACATTTTTTTTGTGTGTGTTCTAGTCACGTTTTTGCTCAGTTTTCAGGATGTTTGTTACTCCTTCGTCACGTTGCTTTGTTTTGAATTTCGCGCAAAGCTACACGAGGACTGTCTGCGTTAGCCGTCCTTAATTTAGTAATGAAAGACTAGAGGGAAGGCAGCTAGTCATCACCGTAAACTCTTGGGCTACTCTACCAATGAATAGTGGGAGTAACCATCACATTATAACGCCCCCACGGCAGAAAGGTTTGAGCATGTTTGATGGGACGTGATTAGCTTACATACTGGTTTATAGTATTTGGTATGGTGCTCTAAGCTAATCACGTGATCGATATGAAGAAATCTTTAGAATATAGGTTACACACTGGTTTACAGTATTAATTATTGTCCTTTAAGGTAATCACGTGATCGATATACAGCATTATTTGGAACTTAAAATCAAAATTGTTTGGTGTTTAATTTCGCGCAAAGTTACTCAAGGACTATCTGTGCTAGTCGTCCCTAATTTGAAGTGATAAATAAGAGGGAAGGCAGCTAGTTAACACCACCTACCGCCAACTCTAAGGTTACCAAAGAACAGTGGGATTTGATCTTACTGTCATAACTCTCTCATGGTTGAAGTAACGAACATATTCGACGCTTGATTTCGACCCCGCGACCCGCAAGTTGCGAATTGAGCCCCCTAATCACCAGGCTATGCTAGACCCATGTCAAAATGAAAACTGTCGTTAGCAGTAACTAATGTCAGCAATGTTAACTTAACTAGCATGGCTTGGTAGTTAGGGCACTCGACTCGCGGGGTCGAAATTAATTGCCGAATATGCTTGCTCTTGCAACTGTGATGGTTAAATATCACTATTCGTTGGTAAAGAGTAGTCAAAGATTTAGCGGTTGGTGATGTTGACTTGCTGCCTTCCATTTTGTCTATCACTGCTAAATTAGGGACGGCAACACAGATAGCTCTCCAATAGCTTAATAAATAAACAAACAGGTTTTCAATCATATTGGTATTGTAGAATTCATATTTAATACTTATTGACAATACGTGAAAATATTATAGCTACAATTATATTGACAGTTTTTGGTAGATTAAAGTGTAACAAGCAAACATTTATACTACCTCGTTCAATAATCGTAAAGCAACCACAAATTTTTCTTCCGTGGTTACAAGTTCTTCGGCAATACGGTATAATTTTCTCTCTCTTTTTGCATTAGCCCGTTCTTCTTCATCTATATCTTCAGAGTCCACTTCACCTTCCGAATCTTCTGACGATGAGTCAAAAAAAGCTGAAGAATGTGAACTAAACAAAGATGCCGAAGAACTAAAGTCACCAATTTCTCCCTGTCGAACATCAGAAGTCTTTATTTCTTGAGACTGTATTTGCCTTTCTGTAGCAGTTTCTTCTTTATCCTTGGAAACATTTCTCGTTAGGTCCAGGTGGTCTTCTGTGTCTTCTGATTCACTGAGATTTGAAAGTTTCTTTCTGAGCTGTTCTACCAGTTCTGTAGACTTCACTTGGGTCTTCCCGCTTACCTCATTAACTACCTCGTCATCACTTACTGATTCTGAGGAATCCAAGGGACCTCTTTGGAGATGTTGCTGTCTGTTTGCTCTGTGGTGACGTTTCACCGTTTCACTTTTCAATCTTGGATGTCTCGATTTTGAAGTATTCATATCATCCTGGGTCCCTTTCACTGTGGTCGAACCAATGTTATACCACCTAAACTTACGTAGAGCTTCGTAATCTGAGCAGCTCACTGAGCTGTCAATGTCTGCATTCCCGCCAGAAAAATCACTGTTTTCAGACCAGCATGCATCATCTTTTCTCACATGAAGATTTCCAGTAGCTCTTACACTATCTTCCAGACTTGGCGACTTCGACCATCGCTCTCTATAAATCCTTTTTGGACTACTAGTTTTATCGTGAAAAATTACATTTTCATAATGCCTTCTCTCTTTTGACTCTAGCTGTGTACCTGTATCATTACTCCTGATGCCAGACACATTTCCAGATAACACAGATTTATTTTTAGATGTTATTCTATTTTCGTCATGTGGGTAAAAATCTTTTAAGGTATTGCTTGAAATAAGTACACTTTTATCGGCTTTCAATATATCAGAAGTGGTTTGTTTGTCTTTGACAATCTGTAAACTTGTTAACGATTTTTCTGGAAATTTAGGAGGAATATGACTGTGTTTGTCGGACAACGATATTTTGGGATAAAGTTTAGGAGGAAGTGGTGGCGGAACAGGGTCTGTTTCAGATTTGTGTAGAAGCAAGTTTTGGTATATGTTATTTTGTGGCATCTCTAGTTTTGTAGTTTCTGCTGTTTTGTAAACCTGGTTATACAACGTTTTTTTTGTTGAAATTAATTGTTTTTCCTTATCTACTTTGTCACAAACTTCAAAATTATCCTGGGATAATTTCTGTTGTTTTGATCTTACTGGTGGTGTAGGTTGTTCTTCAGAAATTGATTTTTTATCCTTGTTTCTTTCTTCAGGTGGAAGTAAGTAACTTCTTTGATAATCTTGAATAGCTTTTGGTTGATACACTGGAGGAGAAGGTCTTGGAGGCTTATCTTTCGATTGATACTCTGGAGGAGAAGGTCTTGGAGGCTTACCCTTTGAATGATACTCTGGAGGAGAAGTTTGGATATTTTGGTTCTCTTTAGTCTCAAGTTGAAGTGCATTACCTTTCTCATCACCTTGTCTGGATGCTGCTGCTAATAATGTCATTTCCACCTCCTTGTCCTCATCCTTGGATATATCGCCATCTACACAGATAACTCCTTGAGAACCACCCAATGTTCTGTACTCTGGATAACCTAGTTTTAAAATTTGATGAACTTCACTTTTTTGTGTATATTGTTGTCGAGGTGCCTCAGGTTTTGTTACTGATCTTGATAGTGAAGAAACCCTATTTGTTGATGGCAGACTTCTTCTGCCTCTTGACACTGGTAGTGTAACACTGTGAGGCCTTTTCCTTTCCTCTCTTCGTACTCTTTGATATGGCATTAGTCCTTTATTGCCCATTTGTGCTGAATATTGTGTTTGAAGATTTGTTGACACCATTCTTGTAGTTCGATCTAAGGGGGTTGATGGGCGTGGTGGCCTCGGAGGTTTCGGCTTCAGTTTGTTGTATGCAGTAATCTCTTCTGATTGAACTGAAGGCCTGACATCAGTTAATGCATGGCCACTAACTACACGCAAGGCTTGAGTAGTACCATTTCTCACAGCATAGAATCCAGATTCACGATTCTCTGGTTTCTGTAGATCATATGGATGACTGTACGTTGTTGGATGAACAGTATATTCATTTTGACTGTTTGTCTGAAAGTTTGACCTTTTGTCATCAATGAGAAGTTCCTGTGTTTCAGGACTTTGTATAGAATGGTCAAACACAGTATCGGAACCTCGCATTTGTTGATTGACAATAGCAGGCTGGGATATATCCACAGACATGAGATTTACAGCTTGAGAAATTGCATTGAAGTCTTCTGGATAAATGTTGCTTTTAAATTCAAACATTTTAGAGTTTGTGTCTCTTTCTACTGCTTTTCTGTAGTTGGCCATTCTATCAAAATATTGATTTTGTGATGCTTGCAATCGTGAAGGAGAAACACTTCTACAAACAGGAGTTTCCCCATAAGAACTTTGAGACAACCTAGAATTATGTTGTTGTAGGGGCTGTGGTATCTGTAGAGGTTGTGAAGAACTAAATCTCCCTACTGGGGTCACAGATCTGCGTGTTATAGATGTTTTATAAGTACGTGCAGGTTGTAAAAGAATACGTTTTTGACTTAGAGCTTGTGTAGAGGAAGTGAACAGAGTTGCTGGGACACTGTGAGGTCTCGTCACTGGTGTAGGTGGAGTTTCAGTTATCATTATTTCAGAGTATGTTGTTGGACTCTGATATCGTTGTTTCATAAATTTTGGAGGCGGAGGTTTGGGAGGTGGTCCAACAGGAGTTTCTTTCACCAAATCATAACCTTGAAGATAAGACTGACAAGCTGGAGAAGTCGATCGTTTCGAAGATGAAGGTGTGGGAGGTAGTGTAATTTTTGTGAATGTTGATTTGATAGGAGATATAGGTTTCGTGTCTGGCTGTGACAAAGATCTTTGATTAACTGTAACTGAAGAAGGTGTGAACTTTTGATACATTGGTGAAATTGGTCTTTTTGGAGGTGGTGGTTTAGGAGGAGGACTATGTGTAGAAACTGGTGTTGGGGTAGAAACGTAGGATTTTTTCAAAGCTGGTTGTGGAGAAAACCTTTGGTGTAAAATGCCTGAGGGTGTGGAACGCTGTTTTTCCGGTGAGATTCGTCTTTGTGCAGGTTGAGAAACATATTTTCTAACTGTTATCGTGCTTGGAGAACCTATTCTCGTCACTTGCTCTACTGGGAGCATTTGAGATTCTACAGATGAAGGAGACATCGAATACTGAAGTGCAGATTGAGAAGTCGACAAAACAGGACGTTTTGGAGATGAAAGTTTAGAAAAAAAACCAGGTACTTTTATTTTGGGAATCGGTGACCGGGGTCGGGCAACATGTGTTTCAGCTGCACCACCTGTTGTTGCCAGCTTTAAACTAATTGCTGCTGTCTCTGTCTGATTTTCTGCTGTAGGTGGAAATACATTAACTGAAGGAAGAATATTAACTGGTGAAATAGTTCTTCTTTTAGGAAGAATATTAGCTAGTGAAATAGGTTTTCTTTTAGAGGGAATATTAACTGGGGAAATCGGTTTTCTTTTAGGGGGAATATTAACTGGGGAAATCGGTTTTCTTTTAGGGGGAATATTAAGTGGTGAAATAGGTTTTCTTTTAGGAAGAATATTAACCAGTGAGATAGGTTTTCGTTTAGGAGGAATGTTGGGTGAAACTTTAGAATCAAGTGAGAAGGTTTTAGATGATACTTGAAGCTGAGTTGGCGTGCCCTGAGGTTTTGGTGTACCTGTCACTTTATTTTTGAAAAGACGTTTCAAAAAATGCCTTTGCTGAGGCTTTGAAACTGGAGATGAAGGTGTAAGATGAACTGAGGGTTGCGATGGAGATTGTACTGGAGAAATTTTCGGCTCACGAGGTAGTGCTAATTGTAAAGGGCTTCTGGATAACACTCCTTGAGACAAAGGTCTTTTACCAAGTGATACAGTTGACTGCATGGCCAAAGGACGATGCAAAACCCTTTCCTTAGATGGAAACATTTTAGGAGGAAAAACAGTTGTTTCCACTGTTACTAAAGTGTTAAGTTTTCCTGACCAATTCCTATGGTCAGCACCAGATTTTTTAGGTTTCTTTAAAAAATTTTTAGCGAACCTTCCAGAAATGTTATGATAGAAATTCCTCATTGGGACGCCTAAAGATTTCGAAGTTGCTTCACGAAATGCATGAATAAAGTTTGTAGCATCTCCCCCCAGAGCAATTTCATCCTCCTCAATCACTGGTGTTTTGTTGTCTTCTTTGGTCTTCATAAGACTATACCCATCCACGAGCGCTGTAGTGGTGCCATCACTTTCTGCCCTGTAAGGATCTGCAGAGGCCAGTCCCCCAGTACCCCAAGGATCATAATCTCCACCTGAAGAAACGACTGTTTCTGTCTTTTGAACTTTTAAAGCACTTAAACTCTGGTTGTGACCCGTTGCACTTGAATGGACGGAGCCAGCTCTGGAGTCAGATCTGGAGCCAGCTCTGGAGTCAGATCTCCTAGCATGAAAATACCTCTTTAGTATTAACACATAAAGCTCATACATTACTTGCAATTTAAAAACAAAACAAAAACCAACCACCTTGCTTTCATCGTCTGACCCATTCTATGGAATAAGAGATATGTGTGAGAGGTTTCAGAAGTATGACTTCTAACGTCCTAAACTATTACGAAAGGTTTACTTATTCAGGGATGAGCTTCTTGAATTTGTCTAGGACTTTAAACTGTATTGATAATTAATGAAACTTACCAAGTTTTCAAATAAAATTCAGAATTAGTGTTAATTATTTTACTAATTAACTATAAAGCAAACTAGTAACAAGTTATGTGTTAAACTACGGCATTTCTTTATTGATGCACTGAAGAACTACACCAGATGTCTTATCGTGTGTTATTCTAGTGTATAGCCACCTAGTGTCAAGTTATGTGTTAAAACCACGGCATTTATGTACCCGTGCACTGAAGAACTACACCAGATGTCTTATCGTGTGTTATTCTTGTGTATAGCCACCTAGTGTCAAGTTGTGTGTTAAAACTACGACATTTATGTACCCGTGCACTGAAGAACTACACTAGATGTCTTATCGTGTGTTATTCTAGTGTATAGCCACCTAGTGTCAAGTCGTGTGTTAAAACCACGACATTTCTTTATTGATGCACTGAAGAACTACACCAGATGTCTTATCGTGTGTTATTCTAGTGTATAGCCACCTAGTGTCAAGTTGTGTGTTAAAACCACGACATTTCTTTATTGATGCACTGAAGAACTACACCAGATGTCTTATCGTGTGTTATTCTAGTGTATAGCCACCTAGTGTCAAGTTGTGTGTTAAAACCACGACATTTCTTTATTGATGCACTGAAGAACTACACCAGATGTCTTATCGTGTGTTATTCTTGTGTATAGCCACCTAGTATCAAGTTGTGTGTTAAAACTACGACATTTATGTACCCGTGCACTGAATAACTACACTAGATGTCTTATCGTGTGTTATTCTAGTGTATAGCCACCTAGTATCAAGTTGTGTGTTAAAACCACGGCATTTCTTTATTGATGCACTGAAGAACTACACCAGATGTCTTATCGTGTGTTATTCTAGTGTATAGCCACCTAGTATCAAGTTGTGTGTTAAAACCACGGCATTTCTTTATTGATGCACTGAAGAACTACACCAGATGTCTTATCGTGTGTTATTCTTGTGTATAGTCACCTAGTGTCAAGTTGTATGTTAAAACTACGACATTTATGTACCCGTGCACTGAAGAACTACACTAGATGTCTTATTAAGACATCTAGTGTAGTTCTTCAGTGCACGGGTACATAAATGTCGTAGTTTTAACATACAACTTGACACTAGGTGGCTATACACAAGAATAACACACATCGTGTGTTATTCTTGTGTTCATATTCATTAAATAACAGACTAGTTTTTCAAGAACTGTCTAAGGTCACTATGTTATTTTATGTATTCTGTGATTATCCACTATAAAGTTAAAGACGCGTCTAAAGCTTCTTATGAAGTACTAAGTTATTCTAAGAGCCTCAGTGGGTTAATCGTCTAAATTTAACTAAACAAATGTACATGCACACTTTAAAGAACGTGGCATTTTTCCAGATCCTCTACTATAAGAAAAAAAGTCAGACCTCTACCCATATATTGATGAATTCCACTTTCGTTATGTCAGTGTAGTAAACTTTCTAATCATCTAATGCCTAATGGCTATGTTGTATGTTAATAACAGTGGACCAAGAAAGCAGCTAATGTTACGTACGTATCTCAGCAAGTCAAATGGTTAGCGTCTGAAACCAACAGGTTATCTTGAAAGTGAGTTAGTGATTTTGTGAGCATATTTACATCTATGTACAGTCTTGGCCAAAATGTTTGCATATTTTGTAACAAGTAAGATTATTATTATTATTATTATTAATATTGAATACAGATACACTTAGCACTTTCAAACTGAGAAATTCATGTTATATTAAACATCTACATATGTAACGTATACAATGAGACAGGTTCTGTGGACATCATGAACGATTTATTAGAACAGCAAACAATTTTATCAGACACCAGTGGAAAAAATGTATAATTCAACGTTTCACCTATCACAACAAAGCATATATAATGACAAAATACAACATAAAATCATTATAAATAGCGTCTGTAACCTTATATTAGTTCATATTAAACATTCAGTACTTGGTTGGTTCTCCTCGTACTAGAATAACCTCTGCAAGGCGACATGACATGCTGTCAGTGAGGTTATTGATGTAATCCACCGTGATTTCATTTCAACTTGTCACTCAGCTACAATAGCTGATTTTGGGTCATAGTTTATAATTTTTCGGCTCAGTTCTGCTCAACCGTTTTTAGTGGGATAACAATCTGGAAAGTTTGCTGGTCATGGCAATCTTGTAACGTCCTCCTGGTCGAGATAATCCTGTACAATACGTGCACTGTGGGAAATGGCATTGCCATCTTGGAACACAAAGTTATTACCAAACCTTGTATTAGCATATGACGGAAATATCATCTCCATGTGATGCCTGTAGGAAGCGCCATTAACGTTTCTCTGGAGGATATGAAATGAATAGCTGCCCAAACATGTACTACACCATCTCCTGTGGGAAATACAGTCTTCCCTCATCTGTTCTCCAGGCAAATGACATACACGAGTCCTACCATCAACTTTAACAAGCCGGAAACAGGACTCATCTGAAAAGATTACATATTACCAGTGTCTTAACTGTAAGTTACCATGCTGTCTTGACCTAGTAACACGATGACAGCAGTGAATTCTAGTTAATATCGGTTTGCAGATAGCCCTTCTAGCAAAATACCCTTGTTTGGTCAGTCTTCTATTCGCTGTTCTTCTGGATATCTTGGAAAGAATGTGTTCATTCCATTTCTGTCGTAAGGTGTTGCAAGACTTCTTTCGACCTTGATGAATATATCTGATGAAAACATGGTCATCTCGGACAGTAGTGTTTTGACATCTACCAGTATACTTTCCTGGAACAACGTTACCTGTAGTATGATGACGTTTCAGGATTCTGGATACAGTACACTGGTGGTACCCTACTGTTCTGGCAATGTCTGTTTGCTTCGTACCATTTCTAGACAGTCAAACAATTTGACGCCCTTTAACCTCTGGCACGTGACGAACAAACCGTTGATCTGTTTCTAAAAAGATTATACCAAAAACACACCCTTTTATACAAAGGAGGTGTGTGTGTGCGTGCGTGTGTTTTGACGAACAAATGTTCAAAATAATTTATACAGACCAGAATAACAACTCGTACATGTTTGTCCAATCATACGCTACCTTCTATGTTACTACATGTTAGAACATTTTGGTCAAGACTGTATATAAGGTTATAAGAAAGGGTCAACCTCGAGTACATGAAATACGTCTTGGTACACTCTAACATAACTCAAATACACCACGTCATAGCTTAGATATACCCTAACATAACTCATATACACTACGTCATAGCTTAGATACACCTTAATTAAACACAGATATACCCTAACATAACTCATATACACCGTATGGTAAGTCAGATACACTCTGTAATAACTCAGATACACCCTATGATATCTCAGATTAACCCTGTAATAACGCAGATTAACCCTATTGTAACTCAGATATACCCTTCTATATTACAGCGTTAAACCATTTCTATAGTACAATTTTATTTTTTACAAAACAAAAGCACTTTAGCTCAGCTCTATTATTTCATTAACCTAAACAATGACACTATGTCATTTTACAGATGATACAAGACTTGATTTTACTAATTTCAGATATGGATGATTTGTGCTGGTTTAAGTTTAACATTGTTTGACTGATTTAGAAGTTCATATTATTTCACTTGGAGAGATATGTTTTTTCTCTCTTCCCTTACGACCCTGTAAATAATATTAGAAAATATTTTTACCGAGATGCTGTATTGTTTGCTTGTGCTTCCTCCTTAACAGTGGTTGTAGTGCTTTCACTGGCGACTGTACTATCTTCCAAGCTTCCAGAATCTCCAGTTCTGTCACCAGAAAATGGAGAAGCCCTGAAGGAAGTTGAAGGTCCTGGTTTTTCTTCTGTAAGTTTGGATTTTGTTCGATCTGTTGGAAATACAATACTTGTTGTTGTAAGAGCTTATGACAGTAATATTTGTATTATGTTTTGTTAAATGACGTAAGCTTTTAATTTTATAATAGAACAGATCAGCAAGTATTGGGCTACCTGCTGTGTCCATCGCAGGGAATTAAACCCCGGATTTTAGTGTTGCTAAATCCGTAAACATACCATATACGTAAGAGAATGGATGATAAATCCCGCGTATTTTTATCACAAATATCTGTTCCTTTGTTATTCATTTTCCCAGCTTCCAGGATCTTATTATTATTTCGGAATTCATGTCGGTAATATGTTTCGTGCATCATGACGATAGCGAAGTCAGTAGAAAAGGTGACCATGTTCTATGGTATTAACATACGAAAGAACAACAAGTATTATTTGACAATTTTTTTAAACTAAAATAATAAACTTAAAACATAAAACTACACCTGGCGAGTTTGTTCGAAATCCAGTTTTTTTATCGTATTATTCTATCCTATAAATTCACTAATCTTGTTTTGAAATACTTATTAGTTAATTAAATTAATGAGAACGAGTTTATTAGGTTACACGTGGTGAATTATGTGAAACTACCAGTTTATTAGGTTACACGTGGTGAATTATGTGAAACTACCAGTTTATTAGGTTACACGTGGTGAATTATGTGGAACTACCAACACGTGGTGAATTATGTGGAACTACCAGTTTATTAGGTTACACGAGGTGAATTATGTGGAACTACCAGTTTATTAGGTTACACGTAGTGAATTATGTGAAACTACCAGTTTATTAGGTTACACGTGGTGAATTATGTGGAACTACCAGTTTATTAGGTTACACGTGGTGAATTATGTGGAACTACCAGTTTATTATGTTACATGTGGTGAATTATGTGAAACTACCAGTTTATTAGGTTACACATGGTGAAGTATGTGGAACTACCAACACGTGGTGAATTATGTGTTAAGTTTAACTTGTAATTTCTTGTTTATTAGAAATTCATAAATACCGTCTCCAAAGAAGTAACTAGAGAATCCAAGAACCCAGCAGAGTGTCAACAAAGCAGTGATCCCAGCAAGGGCAGCCTCCAAAGCGACCACTATTGAAAGCAACATCTTCTGAGTAACTAACGGACAGAGTGAGTAGTGTGGTCAAGAGTGGGAGGGGGACATTGTTCTATTTGAGCCTGAGTAATTCAGCTGTGTTTACCTAAATCAAAGAAACAAGGGTTGTTAATATTTGTTAGAAGCGCTAACTGAAATTAAAATCGTATCTAAACTAGCACTAACTGACACTAAAATCATACCTGAACTATTTCTAACTGACACTAAAATCATACCTAAATTCGCATTAATTCACACTAAAATCATACCTGAACTATATCTAATTGACACTAAAATCATACCTGAACTAGTACTAACTGACACTAAAATCATACCTGAACTAGCACTAACTGACACTAAAATCATACCTGAACTAGCACTAATTGACATTAAAATCATACTTGAACTAGGACTAACTGACACTAAAATCATACCTGAACTAGCACTAATTGACATTAAAATCATACTTGAACTAGGACTAATTGACATCAAAATCATATCTGAACGAATACTAATTGGCACTAAATTCACACTGAAGTAGCACTCATTGACATTAAAAGCATACCTGCACTAGCACTAATTTACAATAAAATCATACCTGCACTAGTACTAATTGACACTAAATTCACACTGAGCTCGCACTAACTGACACTAAATTCACACTGAGCTAGCACTAACTGACAATAAAATCATAACTGATTACACAGCTAAAATATTTATTTGTACAGACGTTTTTAATACTTTCCCTTTAATCGATTCTTAGTCAATGTTAAACATAAAAATAAGTATACTGGTTATCTATATATAAGTCACATATGTACATAGATGGCGCTGGAATAGGTTTAACTAAATAGTAACTGCTGCAGTGGTGTGACGTAGCTGTTGTGTATTAGCACGGTGTCATGGTTAACAAAGAACAACTTCTGAATTACAGTCTATATTCAGTGACATACCCCACATTAACCCAAACTACAATATGCTCAAACGAATTGAAAAAATACTTTGAGTAGCATATATCAGCAAGGTAGTTCTTTTGCTAATCACCTGTTGTCGAGGCTATCTATTACGTCACGTTACTATTCAGACCGAGAAGAAATCTAAAACGTTCAGGATTATCGAGTAATTATATGCTGAAAGTATTAATATGAAGCACGTTTTCGGTTTGTTGGGACCCCGAGTGGCACAGCGGACTTACAACGCTAGAAACCGGGTTTCGATGCACGTTGTGGGCATACCTCAATTAGCCCAATGTGTAGCTTCATGCTTAACTTCAAACAAACAATCAGTTTGTTGGATGACCTTATGAAAATCGTTAAAAGATCAGCCTCGATAACTAAAATTTATTCAGTAAAATATTAAAAAACACATCTCCCAAAACGAATATGAAATCTTTAAACTTATTATCAACAGGAAACAAGTGTAGCTTTTCTTTAAACATGTTACCAGCATGATACAGGTGTGGGTTTCTTTAAACATATTATCAACAGGAAACAATTGTAGGTTTTTCTTTAACTGTTTCAAAAGACGAGATAACACAAGTTTTGAATCTGGAAAAGACGAAGTAGGCTCCAGTTATGAGTTTTATTTTTCTAACAAGGTGATTGGCTGATGCAGTAGTAGCGGCCAGCACTTTACAGGAGTTTAGGTGATCGATGATTTCCTGAAACATAACGAACTGACTTAACTGTTAACGTTTCTCAACCATCCACAGACAAGTGATCATATAGTTCTCTAAGGCTGCCCTTACACGACCATCCACAGACAAGTGACCATATGGTTCTCTAAGGCTGTCCTTACACGACCATCCTCGTGTAAGGACAGCCTTAGAGAACCATATGGTCACTTGTCTGTGGATGGTCGTGTAAGGACAGTCTTAGAGAACCATATGGTCACTTGTCTGTGGATGGTCGTGTAAGGACAGCCTTAGAGAACCATATGGTCACTTGTCTATAGATGATCGTGTAAGGACAGCCTTAGAGAACCATATGATCAATTGTCTGTGGATGGTCGTGTAAGGACAGCCTTAGAGAACCATATGGTCACTTGTCTATAGATGATCGTGTAAGGAC